TACACTCCTAATTGTGCAGGGAGGTTCCTATGTCCTCAATGCTAGTGAACTTGGTATTTTCCTAATACTATTTTTGGTCAGGAAAATAGATACAAACTGATATCTAATTTTTATTTTTTTCCCTAACCTAAAATGACTTTGCTCACTGTCTAATATTCTTAGAATTTTGGGTTCCTATTTTTCTGTAAATTGCCTGTTAATACTTTTTCCAAATGTTCCTATGATTCAATTTATGAAGGCTCTTTTTAATGGAGATTTGAATACTTTGATGTTGACTTGACAAAGATTTTTTTCACATTCTATCTATTATCTTGGTCTTTGGTATTTTTCACAGATCAGAAGTCCTTAAATTAAAAATAGTAATTCATCATTTTTGCCCTTATAGTTTTTCCTTCTGAAAAAAAAAAATGACAAAGTCCATTCCTGCCTCTAGCTCATATACCCAGGAGAGTCAGATGTAATAATAAAATTTATTTTCTTCTTTATACTGGTACATAATATTTGAGCCATAATATTTCATAGCATACATATAATTAGAAAATAGTTATTTTGTATTTACTCAATTTTTTTCTAGAAAAAGCAGACTAAGTGGGCAGAGAATGATAGTAACTCTTGTGTGTGTGTTTGTGTGTTTGCCTGTGAAATATTAAAATATTATTTATCTTTTTTTGGGAAACAAATTCTTTAATGGTTTCCAGTGTTTTTTCTTCCAACAAATTTGAAGGATTTAAAAATTATAATATTCAAACATAATCAATTTGTTAGCTTCTAAGTCATTTTTTTTAGCTCCAAAATCACTACAGATGGTGATTACAGCCATGAAATTAAAAGACACTTACTCCTTGGAAGGAAAGTTATGACCAATTTAGATAGCATATTAAAAAGCAGAGACGTTACTTTGCCAACAAAGGTCTGTCTGGTCAAGGTTATGGTTTTTCCAGTGGTCATGTATGGATGTGAGAGTTGGACTGTGAAGAAAGCTGAGTGCCGAAAAATTGATGCTTTTGAACTGTGNAGGGGATGCCATTTTGATCTCTTATCAAGAAACGAAGATCCCACATGCCACGGAGCAACTAAGCCCAAGCACCGCAGTTGTGAGCCCTGTGCCAACTAGAGCATCCACGTTCTGCAATGAAAGGTCCCGCATGCCAATGCTGCCAAATAAATAAACGAATATAAAAAGGACACACTTTTCTCACACAAACATTTGGCCTAATTATGCTACAGGAAAATTCTACAAATATTTAGGACAAAACTGATTCTATATTATATAAACTTTTCTTGAAAATCACAATAAAGAACATTCTCTAACTCACATCAGTATAAAACTGAAGCCAAAGTAAATAAAATATGAGAAAAACATTGAGATGAATCTCATTTGCAAATATAGGTGCAAACAGCTTTAAAAAATATACATTCACTAATCAAACTCATTTACACATTAAACAATTACTAGGGTCTCAAAGAGGCTCTGGTAAGTAGTTATTCTCTTCCTCCCCAGGGTCTGGACAAACTGAGACATGAAAGGTGGTGAGTAGGCAGAAACCATGTCACCTCTGGATACCTGGGGAAAGACTTTTAAGTTTCTGAGTGAAATATTTGTTGCTGAAAGACACTGTAAGTAGACAGGCTCGTCCACTCAGTCTTGGCGGCAGTGACCGGGACACGCCTCTTGCACTTGCTGGGGAAGCATCTCTGAAACGCAGGGGCACCAGACTTCAGCAGGCTGGCTGCTCCTGAGGATAAGGGGGAGCAGAGCATGCCAGCTTGTCTTCAGGTTTACTAGTCAGACACGTCACTCCATCTTTCTAGGGACCGTGTGAATAAAGTGGTGTTGGAATGGCCATGATTACACAAAGTCAGCTCCCTTGGCAGGAGAGAAACAGCAGAAGCATGGAAAAATTATTTTCCACCAACAATCAAGACAAAGTTGTATCAACATGATATTCCCCTTCAAATTATTTTCAATGAAGTGCTTAAGAGAATTTTATGCCCACCTTCACAAACTTATAAAATTTATCTAGAAGAGAAAAGAGCTAAAAAATAGCTAAGATGATTTCAGTAGGCTAAAAGGAAGAACTTGTTCTATCAGATATCAGAACTGATTATAAAGCAATAATAATAAAGACAGTGTGGTACTGGTGTGAAGGTAGACAAACAGATCAATGGAACTGAGGAAAGAAAAACCATAAACAGATGTTCAAGTCTCTGGAAGCTCAATGTATGAAAATCGTAGCTGGTCCATCAATGAAAAATGGTCCAGTAAATTGTGGTCTATACATACTTATACATATGAAAAAATTATATTGCTTTTCTACTGTACATTTTATCCAAATAGATGAAAAACTTAAATTACAAAGCTATGAGAATAAAATACAACAGAATGTTTATGACTTAACTATGCAGTGGAAATTTAAATAAGGCATAGGGTCACAAAATGTAAAACATTGAAAATTCAACTATATCAAATGTAAAGATAGCAACATTATTAAAAAAGGAAAGACCAGATACTGACTGAAAATTACTCAGGTAAATTGGTTTGAAGCACATATAAATGTTAAAGAATTCATATCCAGTATATTTAAGTAATTTCTACAAATTGCTCCAAGGGAAAATATCACAAAACTTACAATCAGGACAATTATAGAAGGAAAACTTAAATGGCCAATAGAAATATGGATATATGCACAACTTAATAGTAATCAGATAATTGTATGTTAATACTGCATTGAAATGTAATTCTATACTCTTCAGTCTAAAATGTAAATTTTAGGTGAGAATGTGGTGGGAATATAAATGAGCACATTCATATTGAAGACAAATTTGGATATATTAGTAAATAATATATGTCTCTGTATGGTCCAGAATTTCCAATATAGGTACATATGCTAGATAAATATTTGACCACATAAGCAAGGATGCATAGATACACATAACCATACATATGCATGTAAGTATATGTATGAATATGTGCATATGTAAGTATATACACAGATTATTCATAGCAGTATTCTTGAACATGGAAAAATATTATTTATTAAATGAATCAGTGAGAATAGACTGTGTGCTTAGGTTGCTCAGTCATGTCTGACCCTCTGCGATGCCATGAACTATAGCCCCACCAGTCTCCTCTGTCCATGGAATTTTTCAGGCAAGAATACTGAAATGGGTTGCCATTTCCTACTCCTGAGAATCTTCCCAACCCAGGGATCGAATCCATGTCTCTTCAGTCTCCTACACTGGCAGGCAGATTTTTACCACTAGCACTACCTGGGAATCACGTGCAAATTCACTAAATTGGAGCAATACTGTCTGTGTGGATAAATGTCTCAAAGAATGTGCTAAGTAATAAAAAAAAGCAAGTTTGAGAAGTTAGATGGAGGCTACATGAGTGGTTCTTATTTTAAAGATATTTTTATGCACCTTAAATACTGTGCAACGACAGAAGTTCTTCACAAAAACCCCACATCCCCATACGTCAGTAGGGGGCTCCTTCCTCTGCTTTCAGTAACACCAGGCAGCACTGTGGCTCCACAGATGCTATGGTCACTTTGGCATAAGAATGGGCCTCTAGTGGTGGGGAGTGTAGGAAACCAAACCTGTGGTTGATGTGGACAATCTGGTTCTTTGAAACACCTTGAGAATTGAAGAGAGTGGGATAGTTCTGTCGTGAAGGAGCAAGAAACAATTCTCTCATTTCAAATGTCAACGTTGAGGGAGAGCTAAACATTACAAGTGTTAGCTACCTCATCAGGAATATTTGCCGTGAAAAAGACTAAATGCAACCCTTTCAAGGAGACTTCCATCCTGTGGGTGACAGCATTCATCAGAGGAAGCTAACATAGGTCATGAGTTCACTTAAACTAGAATCTTGATGTGATAATGACACTTACCATATTAGCTTAATCTATTTGAATTCAAGTAAAATGTATGATATAAGGGGGTATTTTTAAAGAGTTATGAAACATCAGTACAAGGCATAAAACATACACACACAGACTTAAACCAAGTACCTGAGCATTTTGGACTTGCTTAACCTATACTGAACCCTGATGCTTTTGAAGCTTCATTTGCAGTCATCACTATGCGAAGAAAGGAGACAGACCGACCTGGAGTTGAATTCTGGTTGCACATTTAGAGACAATACATGTAATTCCTTCAGTCCTCTGTCCCACTCCCTATAAAACTGAGAGCACGGATGACCTACAAGGCAGTGATGTCCACTGTAAAACCATGTACATTAGCATAAGATTGGAAATAGGGTTTAATAAGTCAAAGTAGATACATGAGTCAATACATAATCTAAAAAGTATGAGATAAATATATACTCTCATGGAAAGGTGCTCATGTCGCATTATCAAATGAACAAAGCATGTTTCAGAATAATACGCAGAGCTGGACCCTTACGAAAGAAAATTTTCTTTCACGTTCATTCTCATTTTCCTTATTTATCCATGGAAAAGTTCAGGAAGAATTCACACCAAATTTCTAATGGTTATCTTTGGGCATGGGAGTGGGGGAGAGAGAATCCTTTAAACTTATAAACTTTGTCCCCTTTTCTTTTTAAAATAGCTTTAATTGCTTTCAAGATTAATAAAATAGAGTAAGAGAAAGAAGCTAAGTCTGCTTTGTAACGATGACTTAGAGTGAGGTGATTTCTATAAAGTTCCAAGCACAGGACCAGGCTTTGCATGGGCACTCAAAATATAATGGTTAAAATAACACATGCAAATAATGCACTAAGGCCATTTGTGATGCATTCATTCACTCAGTTAATCTTTCAATCATTTGTTCACTCATATCCTTCTTGGGCAACACTCAGCCGATTTCACTGCATTTTTCATTACGCCACCAGGGATGAAGCCTTTATTCCTGGTCTTGGGGTGAAACTTACTAGAACATGGGTTCTGATCCCTTTGCTCCATCATTTCCAGCACACACTGGGATGACACACGGCTGATTTTGAAAAATGGGCTGACCTCTGTTTTACTTACATGAAAATTGCATCCAGATTCTCTTTCTGCAGCTGGTAAAGGCTGATTGGCCACGATGGTCTCTGTGTGCCTCCTTCTACCTGGGGAGTCTAGAGTTGGAGCCTAAGGGATCAATACTTGCTCCCTTGAGAACCCCAGCTTCCAGGGGCTATGATGGAATTGGAACAAACAATGTTAGTAGTTTCAGCTGAAGAACAATTAAGCTTTCTCTAGAGAAGATACATTTAATCATGTTACTGTCATTAGGGATCCTGTGTGTGTGTGTGTATGTGTGTGTTGCCTTATTATTGAACTATTTTTTTTTCCTTTTTATGAGTCAGGTTGAGCAATGTTTACTTTATCTAAAAATTTGTGTTCAAGTCTATGAACTGACCTTTCATTCATTCTTTTTTATTGATTTCTGTAATGTGAGTGCTTTGATTAATAGTAGCTCCAGAATAAATTTAAGAATACTTTTGAGCAAGGCCATCTTTTATTGGTTTCTGAGTTTAAGTGAAATTCTCTCAGTATTTTCTGGTAAATATGATCAAATATTTTGGTTGAAATATTGTACCTTTTATTTAATCACTGGAATTAAAAATAAATGTTTAATTTTAGCAAAAGTTTTTATCTTTTGACATGATTTCATGATTTACTCTGAAAATTAATGCATTTTTATATTAATAGATTTTATAATATCAAAGTATTCTCTTCTTCTATAATACAACTAACCTGGTTACACTGTGTTATTGCCTTCTGTGCTACTGAGGTTTTTTTCTTTTTGTACTTGCATTTTTATTGGGCTTCCCAGGTGGCACTAGTGGTAAAGAACTCGCCTGCCAAAGCAGGAGACACAAGAGATGTGGGTTTGATCCCTGGGTTGGGAAGATCCCCTGGAGGAGGGCATGGCAACCCACTCCAGTGTTCTTGCCTGGAGAATCCCGAGAACAGAGGAGCCTGATGGGCTACAGTCCATGGGGTCGCAAAGAGTTGGACATGACTGAG